TAAAGACTGATGAGGAAAACTTTGTTGATTATGTTAAGAAAAGGGACAAAGATGAATTGATCCTTAAAAAGAAATTGGAAACCAGTGAGAAGCTACTATCGAAACATTATCAATCAGTTATTGCTAAGTATCATTCAACAAAGAAGAGGAAAGCTCTGAAAGACTGTTCTAATTCGTACAACAGAAAGAAGCGGAAATGTGACGAAGATATAATAAAATCAGGAATCAGTGATTTAAAGAATCAGGGATGTAGGGTTGTAGCTGTTACTGTAGAAAGAAACGGGAGGGAAGAAGTAGTTCATACCCTCGAACAAGATCAAACTGAGGATACCAGTAGCATTACAGAGAGTGAAATTGATGTTTTAAACACATTAATATACATCCAGGACTCCTTTAAAATATCTCAGAGAGCGTACCATGAGTTATCGATGCTCTTCCCAACCCTGCCCCGCACTTACACTGTCACAGATGTGATTTCTAGGATGAACTCCGCTTACAACATCACTGTCACTCCTGATGTGAAGGGTGTGCAGCAGTCACTTAGAGAAACACTAAAGCGTGTCTTGGCTCAGAATTTGGCCAAATACCCAAGTCTATTACCTGAAGACACGGTGAAAATAAAAGTTTCAGGGAATGGAACAAGAGTAGGAAAGCGTATAACTGTTTTCAATTTTGCTTTCAATTTTGTGAGTGAGGGCTTTTCAAACCATACTACGTATCCGTTGAGCATTTCTAGGATAAAGGAAAAATACACGGAAATCAAAGCGACGTTAGCCGATCTTATAACAGAAATACACGAACTGCATAACAGTATATTAGATGTTGAGGGACGTAACATCAGAATTGAAATATTTCTGGGAGGAGACTATACGTTTCTATTGACAGCTGTGGGAATATCGTCGATCGCAGCTATGCATGTTTGTGTGTATTGCAAATGTAACAAGAAGGATATGAAGGACTTGAAACAAAACTGGTCTTTACAGGATGAAACCTGTGGAGCACGACTTGAGTATGCAACTGCCTCAACAAGTAATGGACACAAGAAAAAGTAGGAAAGTTACTCAGTAACTAACCAACCTTTGTTCCCGTGCATTCCACCATCTTATGTAGTGAGACATGATTTGCACCTTTTCCTTAGAGTCACAGATAAACTTTTCAGTCTCTTGATCGCAGAACTTAGAACGCTTGACAATATTGCACAGCAGAACACCTTTAAGTGCCTGGACAAAACAGAATTGAAGCATATTGCCCGGTTAGAGCATGTTTTGCAGTAGTGCGGGATTCCATTTGAACTTACCGTTAACAGAGACTCAAAACGACTTGAATTCAGAGACTTACAAGGTCCAGAGAAACCTACATTCCTTGACAAGTTCCAAACGCATTTATTGTTAGATGATTCTAATCGTGCGTGTTTGGGACGGGTTTAGGGACCTCAACAATATGTTGAGAACGCAATCACCTTCGCCGGATGAGATTGCTGACAAGGCTCAGAAATGGTGTCAGGACTTTGTCGAAGTATACCAGTGTCGAGATATAACACCGTATATTCACAGCCTTAGATACCATGTATCCGAACTGGTAAAACTTCATGGTAATATTATCAAGTTTAGCAGGGTTTGGAAAAAGTCAATGACGTTGTCACAAAGTATTTCTTCTCAGGAACAAATCATAAAGGGTTGCGGTCATAGCAACAGGTGATTGAAAAGCATAATAGAGTTGTTCAGCTGGATAATCACCAGAGATCAAAACGGGCGTACAAAAAACGAATCTAATGATAATATTGACTTAACCAGACTTCTAAATAAACTCTAACCGTGAATTTTATGTTGAAAGGTCACATATTATCATAACTGTAAAAGTAATTCGCTTCAAAGTTCTTCAAATGCATAACATGGAGGCTGAGAATGACATTTTCACTGAAATGTGCTTTTCGTTTACATTGATTATCATTAAACATATTTTTGTAAAATGTGGAGTCATTGTTTTATTTGTTCCAAAGCATTGACGATTTATCATGGGGTAATTAATTCACTCATCACCGGTACAAAAAATAATAATTTTCAACTGGCAAATTACGTAGGCTTTTTCAAAAGAATCTGAACAACAAAACATATTACCCTTCAAACATTATCGGAGAATCATTTCCTCAATGTGTTTTAGATTGTCTGCATTAGAAAGCATTTTGCAAGATATTATGTAACAAGCGGTAGTGAGTATGAGTGCATTGGAAAGTTATTAAAAAGCTGGACAGGCCTAATTTAAAAGTCCTAAATACAAAAAACACCGACAAAAATTGCGTAAGCACTTTCCTAGTGAAGCAGATATATTAACACTTATGTAATTGAATATGATAGGTGACTGACTGAAGGACTGAGATTATTTTTTAATTATTGCCATGAAAGTCGAGCAAATTTCAATAGGGATTTGTGACGTTCGTAAAATCAGAGGAGATAACTCTTATCGAGTTGAAAACAGGTTAATTACGAATATATGTCTGTCATCTAAGGAAAGTAAAACAGTAAGTTAGGTATCACAGTGTAGGTAAAAGCAACCATTTCAAATGCCAAAATATTCTACGTACATCAATAGAACATTCAAGACTATTAAAATACGAGCTATGGACCACCAGCAACCGAATCTTGGCCACCTTACTGGGGATGATGGAGACGTACCCTACTTCATCTTAAAGCATGAATCCCCAGTAGGGTTTTAGTCCACTAACAAGGACTGTCAGACAGTTTACACAGGTAAAGGGGCAGGGTGGCCCAGTCATGTGAAGCGCCGTAGTTCCCAGTGAAGAGTTGCGTCCCTTTGGCAGGCCCAAATCCTATGATCATGGGTTCGAATCCTGGTTCAACCCGATTATGGGTCTATCAGGTTCACCCAGATTACGAAAGCACCATGCCAGTGCTGGTGGGGATCACCAGACTGAAAGACTAGCATCACTTCCTTCTTTCCTCACACATCAAACTGACGTGTCCTGATATAATCACATTTGAAAGCGGGGTCAAACCCAACTCACTCACTAGTTCAAGTAAACAAACGATAAACTATATCGGGGTGTCCCGAGCTGGTATTATTGTTGGAATATTGCTAAAAGCGGCGTAAAACCAAACTCACTCACTATATCGGAGACTGCTCCAGTCTATGAGCCACCGTGGCTCACAGCGCGTATTAAGGTGGGTCAGTGGGACGGGGCAGCACAACCTTGCACTGATGTATTCTACATTCATCACCATGACACATGTTCGTGTCAACACTGTGCCAGATATACATCACTTTGGGAAATAGTGCAGACCGTGTTGGGCAGAGTCAAATAAATATTTTCGACTCAGCTAAGGTACAATTCCTCCTATTCTGACATCCGTACTCCACGGACTGTGCGTGAATGATGATGTAGAAGACTTGTAAGGGCTAAATAGACGCTGATACCGTTTTAGTTCTAAAGAGAGGCCGTTTGAAATATTGGCGATATGCGTGCGTGTACACTTGAGTGTATGTGTGTGATTATGCTTGAGATCAGAATATAATCAGACAAGTGTGTTTATATCACTATATATATGCAACATGGTTTGTATTATATGATATTTAATCATTTTTTCAAGTTCAGCCATGCGGTCAAGTGAATGACCATTTGTTTCAGAAAGTGCGGTGATAATTTATTTATATATGACTATTAACTATTGAAATAATTGTATATGCAATGTTAAGAGCTGAGTGTTAATAAAGCACTTTGTATTTTGAATTCATTTGTTTTACTATCCAATATATTTTTAAAGATCGAAAACTGGTATATGAATGTGAATGAAAGGGTGTGTTTTCAGTGTAATGAAAGTATAGAGTAGGAACTATATGTTTTGCTGCATTGCCCTTTGATTTTGTATGAAAGTTTGTATGAAAAGGTATTTTGTTTCTAGTTTCGAAAATGACTGTAATCTATGAATCGATAATATAAAAAGCTGAGATCACCAACGGAAGAGTTGTGTACATGAGTCAAAGTTCAACCCATGCATTCCATGGTATGGGATATTGTATGTTGCTTAACTTGGGTGCATTGCAAACAGTAGGCCGCCTGGAAGCGATGTCCAGCTATTCGTCAAACAGAGCGCTAACTTACACAGGTTTCAACGATGTACAATCACGCCAATCGCTGGCTGGGGACGATTCGTCCTAAAATCAAAATGGCCGCTAAAAAAGAAAAGAAACTTGAGTTTGACAGCGAAACAGGCCCTTATTGACTGGAACAACAAGGAAAGGCAGCTACGATAACAACGTCCTTAGTTTCCTCCACATCTTCAAAGTAGTCATCAGTTTTAACACATGTTATATTTGGGATTACACTTTCTTAGTAAAGTATAAATTCTAGTACTTTTTGAGTTGAACCCCACCCGGGATTCGAACCCACACCCCCAGAGTCAGGCACCTAATCGCCAGCACACAAAGTCAGCCGCCTAACCCGCTCAGCCACCGCGACTTCCACTCATCAGTTGTCTATTATCCTCGAACCTCTTTTGGATCTATTATTGTCTTCTTTCGGGCAAACAAGCGCCATTTTTTTCAAATACGAAGGCTTCGACCTGTTACAAACCCCGGCTTAGCAATGAATATGCAAGCTTACTCTAAATGATTCGTGGCGTAACTCATAAATGGCGCTTTTGGTGGACACCATTTGCATTGTACCAAGCATTGTACCTTGGCCAAGGCTTGTTGGAGCGCGCAAAGGGAGACGGGAACCAGCTTACTTTGTGTGATCCTTTCTGTGACGTCATAATGTCTCAACATTGCAAATAAAGTCACATGACCCTGTCTATGACGTCACAATACACCTCAGTGATTCTCATTCCTGGAGACACAGCGCTTGCGTCAAGTCACAGAAATACGTCTCTCTCGTTTTGAACTCTGAAGTTGGGAAACACATCACACGTGAGTTAAACATGGCTCCCGACTTGGTGAAAGTTGTATTCAAGCTGTACCATCTACCAGACTATGTTGAAAGATGTCTTAAAGACGAAAAAGGCAGAAGAAACGCTGTCAATGTTGCCCTCCTCGGCTCCATCCGTGAGCTCGGCCGGTGGAAACTTGAGAAACAGCTGATTGCCAAAGCCTCCTCTTCTGAAAGTGATGTGTGGGAGGTCAGTGCTGAACTTCCGGTGTCTTCGTCCTTTGAATGGTCGTGGCTGGTGGCTGACGACAAGAAAGTCCTCTTCTGGGATCCCGCACAGGACAGAAGGTAATGGAAATCCATTCTCCACATCTCTGCAAAACCCGTTGATGGTATCTTTGTTAATCTTTAAGAAACCCCTGATTTGAAGAAAATCATGAGAAGAAGCAAATACCTTTTATTAATATAATATATAAATAATATTTCATAAAACAGATAAACAGTTTATTGTGGAATATTGAAATGAACTCACCTGATATTTCAGGACGCGACTGTCCTACCACGAAGGGGTGATGTATGCATCCTGGGAACGGGACCCCAACTATTTTGTCTCCCAGACCTGCGCCCTGAAGCTGGAGACCCACTACTACTGTGAGGCAGGGGAAGCTGTCGCTGTTGTCGGCTCGGAGCCATGTCTTGGATCCTGGAAGTCCAAGAAAGCACTGATGGCTCAAGAATACCCGGAAAATCTGGAATCTGGCGGGTAGGTACACAAGTGCAAAATAACGTTTGTTGTACTGCATGGTGACTAGGAATTATTCAAACCAGGAGACACAATAACTACTTCGTTTTCACAAATGAAATACACCAGAGTTTGATTTAGAAACCTCCCTCAATTATGCCACTATTCACAATTCGTTGCATATTCTACTTCAGGCAAATACTCTACTGGAAGTCCACCGTGACTACCAGTGGAAGTGGGCAGTCGTCGACGTGAAGACGAGGAAGGTGAAGAGATGGGAGATGTGTGCCAACAGATTCATCTCCACCAACTGCGCGCAGCTCTCCATCCGGGCACCCTGGAACACGCCATCGTCCACCTTGTCCCACTCCACCATCATCCAGGAGCACACGATCGACATGGCCAAGGTGGCCAAGTTCTATGATGCCGTGGAGAACTGTGATGAACTTTTGACCTCGGAGATGAGTCACGTGACGCCTGGGTGGCAGTCACGACAGGAGACGAAGAAGAAACCTGTTGTCAGTAAGTACAGCCTTTCATATATATTTCTGATATCTCATAAAAACAACAGTTTGAAATTTGCAGTAATTTACATGTTTGAGTTAAATCCCTTGGGTTTGTGAGGATCCGCTGATCTCAGGTTCAGATGCTAATGCTGATGGGTTATGATGATGCGTCACTTTCTGTTTTCAACTCATGTAGTGAATCAACCAATCAGTTGTTCATGAAATAGGCTTTGAGTATTATGTGTTACCGTGGTGAATGAGTAATTACTGGTAAAATCAGGTTAGAATCACCTCAGTGAACTTGCAGAACCAGAATAATAATATTAAAAAGTATGACATTGATACACGTACAAGTCTTGCAGCATGTTTTCCTTCCACGTTAACACTTCGTGGTATATCTGAAATATTGTTTCACTCACTCACTCAAACCCAACCACTCACTCACTCACTGTTTTACAAGCTTCAATGAATATTATGTGTAATATTTTAAAAATGTGAAATATTATATTTTCAGTAACAGAAACTGAGAAAATGGAAGCTTTGAAACCAACGAAACAGCGTGAACAGAAGCCAAGAAATCACAGGTCATTTATAAGGAAGATTCCTGGACTTGTGTGTCACGTGACCAACTTCCTGAGTGACTGTTACTACTGGTTGGAGTAGATGTGGCGTTGTCATCGATACTGAACTGTAGAAAATGACTAATTTTTAAAGATTTTGTAAATACACTTAGATTGTATATATCATCTTGTAAATATCACCAAAATTTGTTCGAATACATTGTTATTAATTGGAAAGCAAACTTACAAATAATGTTATGTCTATTTACTGCACAGTTGGAGATGTAAATGAAAGTAGCATTTCATTTGTACATATGTCAGTCAAACAGAATTAAAACTCCTTATCAATGTATACACAAACTCATTGTTGTGGTGTTTCCTCCTGAGGCCTGAAGCATATTGTTACTTATGGATTGTTCAAGACATGAGTGTTAATGAAAGTAGAGTCCATGTTTGAGGACACCGGTAGGCGTTGCAACAAGAGTGTGACCGGGATCCCAGGAGGGAAGGAGTGAGTTTTAGTTTTTACGCCGCTTTTAGCAAAATTCCAGCAATATCGCGGCGGGGGACACCCGAAATGGGCTTCATACATGTGGGGAATCGAACCCGGGTTCTCAGCGTGACGAGCGAACGCTTTAACCATTGGGCTACCCAACAGGGATCAGGTGGTCAGGCTTGCTGACTTGGTTAGGACAGAGAGTCTCTGGCAGCAAGGCCGTTTTCTCCTCTATGGTGATGATTTACATTTACAGAAGAAGTGGTTGGCGATAGAATGTAAATGTTGCATTCTTATTGGGGAAATATATGCAGTTATATCTAAATGGACAGGAATAAACTGACTTTGACTTGATGGACATATATCTATGATAGAGCTGGGATTCGCTTGGGGAGAATATCAGCGATCTTTTAAAGAAAAATGGCGGACAGCGTCGTAAAGAAGAGCCGCTCAAACTCTTGACCCTTAATTCTCTAATAATACTTCCATTGTGTGAGGCCAGTACGCAAACTGTGCAAGAAGATAAGGACTTCATTTAAAGATTTAACTTTATATGACTTTATGCTTTTAAGTTATCATGTACTGTTTTTACAATGAAGCAGAGAAGCCTGTTAAGTATACACTGTAGGAGATCTAGGGTAAAGCAGGTGCTGGCAAAGGAAGCCTGAAAGGCCACATGCCAGTAGTACAAATGATGATTTATTTATTTATAACTAGTAACTATTGAAATAATTGTATATGCAATGTTAAGAGCCGAGTGTTTATAATCACATTTTTAATTGTTTCTCTATCCAATAGAATTTTAAAGATCGAAAACTGGCACATGAGTGTAAATGAAAGAGTGTGTTTTCAGTGTAATGAAAGTATTGACTATGAACGATATATATTGCTGCATTGCCCTTTGATTTTGTATGAAAGTTTGTGTGAAAAGGTATTTTCTTTCTTGTTTCGAAAATGACTGTAATCAATTCATCGATAATCACCGATAATAAAAACACTGAGATCACCAAAGGTAGAGTTGTGTCAATGTTGAATCAATGCATTCCATGGTGTCAGTTTATGTTGATTAACTTGGGTGCTTTGCAAACAGTAGGCCGCCTGGAAGTGATGTCCAGCTATTCGCCAAACAGAGCGCTAATTTACACGTTTCAACGACGTATAATCTCGCCAATCGCTGGATGGGGACGATTCGTCCTAAAATGAAACCAAAATAGAAAAGAAACTTGAGTTTGACAGCGAAACAGGCTCTTATTGGCTGGAACAACAAGGAAAGGAAGCTAAAATAACCACATCCTTAGATTCCTCCACATCTTTTGGCCGTGGGAGCCGTGCCAATTAACACTTATCAGAGGGGTACACAAAGTCCGCAGTCTAGACTACCAGTTGTCCGACTTCCTTTTTTTGTGGAAGCCGCGGTGGCTGAGCGGTCTAGGCGTCTGACTTTGTGTGCTGGCGATTAGGTGCCTGACTCTGAGGGTGTGGGTTCGAATCCCGGATGGGACTCAATCCAAAAAGTACTAGAATCTGTACTTTACTAAGAAAGTGTAATCCCCAATATAACATATGTGACGTATAATCACACCAATCGCTGGATGGGGGCGATCCAAAAAGGAAAAGAAACTTGAGTTTGACAGCGAAACAGGCTCTTATTGGCTGGAACAACAAGGAAAGCACGCACACATCCAGGGGCGTAACTAGGACAATTTCAGTTGTAAGCACAGCTTAAGGTTTTGATGAAGGATTACCGCAAACGGACTAAAACATCAGGCGAACCAAACGAGCAGGTTCTAACAAACATTATCTGGAATAATATAACGCAGTGAAACAATTTGTAAATATTTCAAACACCATATCAGGGCAACTGATAAGCATGGACCCATAAAGTACACGTACAATAAACCACAAAACAATAAAACCGGAACTCTCAGAAATGCATGAACGTTGTAAAGGGAACAAGAACAAGAAGAGCTAAATCAACTATGAAATTGTTTGAAACAGTCAGGAACAGATCTGCTAGCATCAGTTACTGTATGCATCAACTCTACTTGAAGAGAAGTGCCATTTTGCATTTTCCACATATGAAGTAGTGCAAGTGCATTAAGCCGTTCCATTACCATTGTTGACCTGAGATACGTTTTAACACGTCTCATTGCGCTGAAGGAACGTCAGCAGTTGCAGAAGACACTGGCATTGTCACAAGTGTTTTGAGGGCAACATGGATATTTGGATAAAGATCTTCTTTTGCGAAGTCCAGTGTTGCCAAAAAACACGATGGTTTCTCCTCTGCTGGAACATCTTGCCAACGTGATTGCCATCGCCTGATTTCTACCGTTTGTTGCTCATGTGAGTTCTCTTTCAGCTCAGTGAACTGTGCGAATATTCGCCTTCCCATTTCCTCGGCTATGTTATGGACAGAAATAGGTACAAATTCTGAGCTTCGAATCAGGTCACTGGGGCAGATAAGCCTGTCCTTAAATTGCTGAGCCATACGATCCAGCAAAGAGTAAAAAGATTCCTCTTCCAGTAGACTTCAGGTGTGGATGCAGGGGCAATGTCGCGCATCGTTTGACGGCTCATACATCTTGGCTTATAGTAGGAATAATGTCGTATTTGCTTGCAATATCAGATGCCTCACTGAAAAATTCCACTCATGCAGACTCGTCATCACGAATCTGTCTCAAACTGCTGATGACAACAGAGGCCTCGCTTGATGCACGAATAAGGTCAATGGTCGGAGACTGCAACATGGGAGATAACTGAACTGTGTACTGGATTATGTGTTCCAGCAAAGGACGACATCGAATGATGCTTTGACAGTGGACAGCGAACCTCCACGACTTGCCCAACGTGTTTCACAGAGTTCAGTAATCTCTCGCTTTTGCTCCGTTGCTTCCTGAGCATTCTCATTTGATTCCAGTTCCTTAGTGTATTCCAAGAGACGTTTTGCCGAATACGAAAAGGCAATGCTTTGAACTGTTGACATAATAATGTTGACTGATGTTATGGAACAGCTATGAACCAAGGCCAGATTCAAACAGAGATTACCGTGAACAAAGAATGCTTCAGGATACTGACGTCTTATGATGGCTTGTACATCATTCAAATACCCACTCATGCTTGAGGCACCATCATAACCTTGACCCTTTATATAGCATTTCGTAACCCCACACTTGTCTAGTTCTGACAGGAATGATTCCGCTAAGGCAGCTGCCTTTGTACTGTCAGCCTCAATGAAACCTAAATATGATTCCTTGAGTATAGTTCGACCCTGGTCGTTCAATGAAATGTGTCGAACAGGGATAGAAATTTGTTCTCTGGTTGAGGAATCTGTTGCCTCGTCAGCAATGAGAGAAAAACATTTCTGTGAATAGCAGTCATTAACCAACTGGTTTCCAATGCGTGGTGAACAAATATCAAGAAGCTCATTTTAAATGGCTGGTGATAAATATTTGTTTCTAATTTTGCTGTTTTACAGATGACTGTTCAATAACTCATCGTGCTTTGCACGATAATGCAAAGGGGCTACAAAATTGCTTTTCTCAGCATCATGACTTCTAATAGCAATATTCTGTCTCCCGCGCAAATTGAGTGTCTCAACTAGTGTTTTGAGAATTGAACGATTTCTTTCAACGGCTTCATTGTCCGTATTAGAAAGTTGGCAAAAAAAGTGATGGGAATCAGGTTTGGTATGTCACTTAATAAGTGTCCCGATATTTGCCCAATCATGAACGTACGATGTAACAAATGCGCCTTTTTGATTGTCATTTGCGAAAAGAGCACATGGTAAGCAAATGACGCAATCTTTTGACGGAGAATATTTCAGCCAATCATTGTTATCAAGATGTGTTGGATTAAATTTCCGTTTTACACCTCTAATTTCCGTTTAAGGATATTTTAGTGTTTGGTCAGCCCTTACATCTGTTGAATGTAAATGTTTCAGAAGAGTAGAACGAATTTGTTCTGATTTTTCTTCACTTTCTGTGTACAAGCCAATATCAGTACCAGAGAAACTGTAAGAAAGTTTCGGTGAATCTGATGCCAGTGAAGAACACTTATTGGAATTCGTGTTGGTTTAAAAAGCAGATGGAACCTCTGTTTTTGACTGCAATGTTACAAAAAAGGAATCAATTTCTTTACAGTTCTCCCTTTTAAACGTTTTAGAAGGAGACCAAATGACTGATAATTTAATGTCATTTGTTATCTATATTAACTGTAATTTCCTTAACGTTAATTTGTTAAAATACTTGTATTTTGATGCAAATAGATTTTAACAATTTGACAATATCGCGTAAGTGTTTGGTCTGACACAAGCAAATGACGCTAATGCCACACAACTAAATATGAACATTTATTTACACTTCTATAAACATTGTATTAGTCATCGTGGGATAAAATCGGTTTCCGCGAAGAACAGTGCGTTCTAACGACTGTCACCAATAAAATAGTGAAACATTTAACAAGAACCTCAATATATTTCTTATAAATGCTTTTATTGAATTTCAAAGAAATACGTCTCTCTATTTTTGAACTCTGAAGTTCGGAAACATATCACCCGTGAGTTAAACATGGCACCGCACTTGGTGAAAGTCGTATTCAAGCTGTACCATCTACCAGACTATGTTGAAAGAAGTCTTAAAGACGAAGAAGGCAAAAGAAACACTGTCAATGTTGCCCTCCTCGGCTCCATCCGCGAGCTCGGCCGGTGGAAACTTGAGAAACAGCTGATTGCCAAAGCTTCCTCTTCTGAAAGTGACGTGTGGGAGGTCAGTTCTGAACTTCCGGTGTCCTCGTCCTTTGAATGGTCGTGGCTAGTGGCTGATGACAAGAAAGTCCTCTTCTGGGATCCCGCACAAGACAGAAGGTAATGGAAATCCATTCTCCATATCTCTGCCAAGCGCGTTGATGGCATCGTTGTTAAACTTTAAGAAACCCCTGATTTGAAGAAAATCATGAGAAGAAGCAAATACCTTTCTTAAATGAAATAATAGTTCATAAAACAGATAAACAGGTTATTGTGGAATATCGAAATGACATTAATGTTATTTCAGGGCACGACTGTCCTACCACGAAGGGGTGATGTATGCATCCTGGGGACGGGACCCCAACTATTTTGTCTCCCACACCTGCGCCCTGAAGCTGGAGACTCACTACTGCTGCGAGGCAGGGGAAGCTCTCTCTGTTGTAGGCTCGGAGCCATGTCTTGGATCCTGGAAGTCCAAGAAAGCATTAATGGCTCACGAGTACCCGGAGAAATCTGGCCACTGGCGGGTAGGTACACAAGTGCAAAATAACGTTTGTTGTACTGAATGGTGACTAGGAATTATTCAAACCTGGAGACACAATAAATAAAAAAGGTTTTGACAAATGAAATACGCCAGAATTTGATTTAGAAACCTCCCTCAATTAGGCCACTATTCACAAGTCGTTGTATTTTCTACTTCAGGCAAATACTCTACTGGACGTCCACCGCGACTACCAGTGGAAGTGGGCGGTCGTCGACGTGAAGACGAGGAAGGTGAAGAGATGGGAGGAGTGTTCCAATAGATTCATCTCCACCAACTGCGAGCAGCTCTCCATCCGGGCACCCTGGAACACGCCATCGTCCACCTTGTCCCACTCCACCATTATCCAGGAGCAGACGATCGACATGGCCAAGGTGGCCAAGTTCTATGATGCCGTGGAGAACTGTGATGAACTTGTGACCTCGGAGATGAGTCACGTGACGTCTGGGTGGCAGTCACGACAGGAGACGAAGAAGAAACCATTTGTCAGTAAGTACAGCCTTTCATTTATTTATATTTTTTGATAGCTCGTAAAAGAACAGTTTGCAATTGGCAGTAAGTTACATGTTAGAGTTAAATCCCTTTGGATTGTGAGGATCCGCTGATCTTGGGGTTCAGATGCTAATGATCTTCGGCTCCACACCTGTGCTGGTGGGTTATGATAATGCGTCACTTCTGGTTTTCAACTCATGTAGTGAATCAACCAATCAGAAATAAGCTTCCAATTTTATTCATAAATATGATATTGATACACGTAGAAGTCTTGCAGCATGTATTCCTTCCACATCACGTTAACACTTCGTGGTATAACTGAAATATTATTTTACTCGTTCACTCCCTCACTCACTCCCTCACTCACTCACTCACTCACCGGCTCACTCAAAACGTCTGATAGACAAAGTCAAAACATTTGTAAGGGCGGTCTGGCGGTCAACCAATCCTGCCCGGACTGTTGTCCATCTTGTCCGGTTAGACCGTATATTGTTCCTTCTGTTTTGCAAGCTTCAATGAATATCATATGCAATATTTTATAAATATAAAATATTATATTTTCAGTAACGGAAACTGAGAAAATGGCAGCTTGGAAGCCAAAGAAACAGCGTGAACAGAAGCCAAGAAGTCACAGGTCATTTATCAGGAAGATTCCTGGACTTGTGTGTCACGTGACCAACTCCCTGAGTGACTGTTACCACTGTTTGGAGTAGATGTGGCGTTGTCATGGAAGAAAGCCTATTTCCTAAAAGATTTTGTAAAAATACTTAGATTGTATATAATTTCATAGAATCATCTTTTAAATTATCACCAAAATTCGTTCAGATACCTTGCTATTAATTGGAAATCAAATTTACAAATTATGTTATGTATATTTACTGTACAGTTGGACGTGTACGTGAAATTAACATTTCATTTGTACATATGTCAGTCAGAAAGAAGTTAAACTCATTCTCGATACATACACAAAATCTTTGTTGTGCTGTTTCCTCTTGGGGCCTTGACCATATTATGGATTGTTCGAAACACGAGTCTTAATATAAGTAGAACCTATATTTGAGGACACCGGTAGGCGTCGCACCAAATATGTGACCGGGGTCCGGGACAGAATGTCTCTACCACCCCAGTCTTCTCCTCCCTGAGTACACTTCAAGAATACAGTTTTATATATGACGATGATGATAGTGAGATGTTGTAAGCTCGTCGTGCTAGGGTTGAGATGATTCCTCTCTTGACTTGAGGTGGATGGCGGCAACCTTTGATCCGTGTGAGTTGGTTTGCGATATACTGTGGTCTGGAGCTTGTTGGACATCCAGGAAGGGTAAATGGTCATTGCATTCTTCATCCATAGTGAACTGGATACGTGGATTTGAGCAGTTCGGGTGGTTCCGTAGAATTTTCTGGTCGTTGTTGTTTTGTAGGATGACAAAATGAGTGATCTACTTTGTGAACCAGCAGATGTGTGTTAGGGGTGTGGGGTGTGTGTGTGTGGTGTGTGTTTCCAGGGCCATTTCTTCCAGGTGGGTCATGAAGATCTCGATGACTAAGAGTGACAGTTGAGATCCAATTGGGAGGCCGGGTTTGCTGAAAGATGTTATCTCCCCAGGTGAAGTATGTGGAACTGATATATATAGGAGTGTATCAGTCCGATAATGTTCTTTGTTGTTAAGCGGGTTTCTATGGTTGGGTGAATTTCATGAATGCGTTTGCTGCTGGTGTCAATGGCTTCGTCTTTGTATAGGTTAGTAAACAGGTGGACCACATCTTAGCTGATTAAGGTGCCTGGTTGGGGGATTGCATGGATCTTTTTGTAGGATTCCGTTGAGTCCGAGACAAAGGATTTGGCTGTTTTTCTAACAGGAGACATGAGGTGTGATTGATGCTGGGTTGTACTGTAATGGACAGTGTCCCTGCTGCAGACGAGGAGAGGTTTTGGCAAGACCTTTATGTGTGATCCTGTGCATGGAGCTCACAAATCAGTTGAAGCTAAAGGTCACATGCAACCAATAAATCAAACATATTAAAACACAATTATCACTTATTCATGACATATAATATATATTGCTGATTAGGAAAAAAACATAAACAAACTTATAAGCGTATAATCGCAAATCAAAAGTGCAATATTTTGTACTTGGGTTTACTTCCCTCGAAACGAAGCACCCAGGATACCGAACCCAGTCAGAGCGGGTGGGTGTGCACTTAAGTGTAACGAAGACTTTTATTGGCTGGTTCATTTGCAGATGCCCTCACGTCTCATTGTGTGTATAACTGTATTCAGGGATGTTGGGTTTTGTAAATACATGCTCATTTTTTGTGTATAACATTTTGCAATCAATAGACATCATAACATGTCATGTGTACAAGTATCACACATGCCTGTGTGTGTGTAATTACATAATGTGCCAGAGACCGAACTCGGGCCATAAATCAATGCGTTTTGTTTATGGTGTATAGCCTGATAGGTGTTAAGTTCAAATTGCATGTGGTCAGTGATCGAAGTTGTGTATTGAATATTGTCATTAGCAGACAGGCAGGCAGACACATAGGTGTCAATAAAACAGACATTGAGTTTGTCTGTGACAACGACATATCTATGTCACAGTTAGAAATTCTGTCAACGCTAAAAAATTGTAGATTATCCCTGGTTAAAGTGAAGCCCTTGTCTCTCTCCTATTCCCAACATAGCCTCAATCAAAAGTGTTAAGTCTCTGTTCTGCCCGTCTTGGCCCGTGCTGTCAAAGGCAACTTAAACCTCACACACGTATCTTGAAGTGTGTCCAAATTCATAGATGAGTATTATATCTACGTACATATCACAGCAGGGGCGGTGGGGTAGCCTAATGGTTAAAGCGTTGGCTCGTCACGCCGAAGACCCGGGTTCGAATCCCCACATGGACACAATGTGTGAAGCCCATTTCTGGTGTCCCCCGCCGTGATGTTGCTGGAATATTGCTAAAAGCGGCGTAAAACCATACTCAGTCAGTCAGTCAGTCAGACATATCACAGCATAGAGTTCAAAAGCGTAGTAATTGAAGCAAACACGTTGCTCAAAGTGAAGCCCTCTTTTCTATATATTCTCAACAAAGACACTGCATCACAAGCGTTCGGTCCGGCCTCTCAAAAACAACTCAAATCTCACACATGTATCCTGAATTGTGTTTAAATCTATAGACTAGCATTCTATCTACCTAAATATCACTTTGTAATGTTACAAAATGTCACATGTAAAGATACCTGGTCCGTTAAAGTGAAGCCCTTGTCTCTCTCCATTCACAACATAGCCTCAATCAAAAGTGTTAAGTCTCTGTTAAGTATGAAATACACAATGCCAGTTAAGTAACCTTCTCACATAGACATATGAAGGAAAACACATACCAAGACGGTGTCTTTTCTACGGGACTCTCGGTATGTAGGCATTGTTTTTTGTGGGGTTTTTTTATCGTTAACTATACATTTTCAATCAAACCATACATTTGTGAAGTCAGGAAGTGTATCTACCCAAATGTGCAGATTTTGTTTTAATATTCCGCAATCCATTTTTAGTAGTATCGGGCAGCCCGGCCCGGCCCGACTTTTCTTGGGCCATCCCTGGTATAACCATGACTAAATATCGAGGTAAAAAATACATGAATGGAATCCAGATCAAACTTAGCCATGAATTCCATCCACGAATCAGAAATCTGAAGAAGCTTGCCCTGCTGGGACACTTTATTAAAATCAGACTTGAACGATCAGTTGTATTTCCAAATAGCGGGCATCAACCTTTGTTTGAAACTGCTTGTTTAGGTTGAAGAAATAAATCAACGCGCGTCCTTTGGTATATGTATAAACATTGTCTCAAAGTTTGCGTCTGCTGTCCTAACAGACAGTAACCCAGTCTCATGTCACGCTCTGTTGCGTCCGCCTTACGGCAGTTGATGAGAACTGGGTTGCAGTGGTAGACTGTCGGTTTGAAGCCATAGATCAGTTCCTCGTTGTCGTGATATGAAAGGCGAGCGTGTTGTTACAAGCTATTCTTTCTCTACACGCACTGTAAGTGCTTGTTACAGAGTCCAAAACCAATGTTGGACTGATTTTATTATCAGAAAATCGCTGGTAAATTATTTAAATGATGAGTGCAATTAACTTGTTTCATTGATGATGTATATCCCCACATGACATTAACGATGGCCAGTTCATAAAGCGAATATGTATAATGTCACAAATTGAATATTGGAAATCGATCGGGATTCCCCTGAAGTTAATAATTCATCTAGTTACATTGCCAAGTGAAATAAACTGAAAATATAAGAAATTTTAAATGTTAAAATCAATTTCTGAAAACAGGAGGAGAGGAGCTTTTGCAGATTAGTATCACGCAGAAATTGGCATTCTGCAAGTTTGACGCCAAAGACTAACGTTAAGTCAATGAAAATGGGTAATTTTGAACTACATGCAAATTGAAAAAGAGCCCCATTGAAACGGGAGAACTGAATAGAAAATCTAGACTTGCTTCTTTTGGGGCTTTGGGGAAGTAAAATATTGGCTCATTCATGCGGTTGGCTGTTTTTAACCAAAATGGAGATTTTCATTTTACAGAATATGTTTATGTCTAATACCACTCACATATGCCGTGTACATTTCTAACAGACGTATATTAATCACTTGACGAGTAATGTTTTTATATTAACCTATGAAATCCTTAATACGGGTATAATATTATCCAAATAGGATCCATGTGGGTACGGGGGGAGGTTTAACTATTTTCAGTAATTCTCACAGATCAGTATAATATTTGCTTTGTTCATAACTGTTCCGTTGTTTTCGAGGCTGGTAGAGAGTCCCAGATACAATTTGGGTCATATGAACCCATAGTCGCGTATGATTGAAGATAACGTCTTAACTGGCTCCTGGCTCTCTTGCGCGTCGTCAGCTTGCGGCGTGAGAGACAGGGCCCAGCTGAAATGTAGACTGGCTGAGGAACAACACTATCCTACAAGAAAGTAACTGTGGACAATATAACAATAATGTCTACTCTTCCCTCGTGAATTCAATTTTGTAAGTCACAAGTCTTCGTGATTCAATTCAGGAGGGACAGGTAATCCGCCTTCCTCGTTAGCAGTTTACTTTTTTTCTTACCAATCATCAAATTTAAATATAAGAAGCAAACATATTCTTACATTCACCCTTCATGCGAGAGGCGAAGATGCATTTTGTCAATTCCTACACGTGTGAAACGGCACCAAATTCGGGAACAGTCCGCCTTCCTAATGATTCCACGATAGTCAAATAGTTCGATTGATTTTATACATTTTTATGAACATGTAACCTTCCTCAACTTGCAATTTGTGAATACGTCGACTCGGACCTTCATGAAAACAAAATACAGTTGTATGCAACGATTGTGGCTGCATGGATAATTTTACCCCTGCACTGTTAGTCCAATTCTTCAGAATTTGCACTTTTTGCCATTATCCTTTTTCGGTCGTTCTCAACGAAGCGAGTATTGTTTATAAACCACATGCAATCAAGAAGAACAATAGTAACTGAAGGAGGTTGTGGTAGAATCCCTCTGTACAAACACAAAAAAAGGTTTGTTTCGGGTATTCAAGTGTTCCTCAAAGCGATCGTAGCGCTACGACTGTCGTAAGTCTATGTTAAAGTATGGGAGTTACGATCATCATAGCGCTACGACTGTCGTAAGTCTATGTTAAATGTCTGGGAGTTACGGTCATCGTAGCGCTACGATCGTCGTAAGTCTATGTTAAAGTATGGGAGTTACGATCATCGTAGCGCTACGATCGTCGTAAGTCTATGTTAAAGTATGGGAGTTACGATCATCGTAGCGCTACGACTGCCGTAAGTCTATGTTAAAGTATGGGAGTTACGATCATCTTAGGGTTACGATCGCTTTGAAGAACGTGACCCAGATTCCCAACGTCAATGTTGATTTTGTTGACTGTTCGGTACCGCTGCACGGTACAGAAATGAGTGTCAAAAAAGCGAAGTGCCAACTTTTGTAAATTAGGGGATTAAGGGGGTAAAGTTGACATGGGGTCTGGTGCTTTTCATTTTTCACCATTTAACAATATCTTTCCACATATACATCCATCAACAACCATCATCGACATATATTTCCAATGCTTCCGAAAGCTGGCCATACCTTCGTTCATAGATTCACCAATACATATTCATACATTCATAGAGTCATCAATACTATTCATTTACAATGCAGTTAGATTTGATGCACCATAAGCATACTCAAAGACTGTCTTGGTGCCATTCTGAAGGGCATTCTTCAGAGTTTGAAGTCTCTGATATAACTGCCGATATTTCCTTCTTATAGGCCTCAGTGTGCCGTTGGCAGTCAGTTGCATGATTGTTGCTTCAGAATGTGCTGGGGCGGTGGGGTAGCCTAATGGTTAAAGCGTTGGTTCGTCACGCCGAAGACCCGGGTTCGAATCCCCACATGGGCACAATGTGTGAAGCCCATTTTCTGGTGTCCCCCGCCGTGATGTTGCTGGAATATTGCTAATAGCGGCGTATAACCAAACTCAGTCAGTCAGTCAGAGTGTGCTTGTTCATACTTGAAGAAGTTCACTAATTTAAAAATGTTACGATGAGTGAGTGAGTGACTTTAACGCCGCATTTAGCAATATTCCAGCAATGTCACGGCGGGGGACACCAGAAATGGGCTTCACACATTGTACCAATGTGGGGAATCGAACCCGGGTCTTCGGCGTGACGAGCCAACGCTTTAACCACTAGGCTACCCCACCGCCTCTGTTAGGATGAGGCAAAGCAAGTATGGATATAATCTTTGAGTGCCAACCTTCGACGTGGCTTGTCGCACGTGGACCCTGTGTGTGGAAGTGCCATGGTGCCACTCAACCTACAACTCTGTCGCGTAGTCTGCAAACTGCAACACTCGGGCATGTTGGAGTGGTGCATTGTCCAGAGCCTGCAACCACACATCTTCAATGTGCTGCTTTGGAATCAAAAGTAAGGCTGCTGCCTGCTCTACATCACTTGCTTGATAACGGTGTTAGTATCTACACCGAAACGCAATAAAGAAGTTGACTATCCATCGAAATTGGTTTTCCTTCATATTTACAAGTTCTAATATGCCTCTCAAAGAAGTTTATGAATGTGGTATAAAGAAACTCGTCTTTGTACAAACACCAGTGGTGTCATTTTTAAAGCATGAATTGTTTGTGTACCTGATTTACTCTTAATTTCAGTTACATTGTACATGTATTTGTTTATTTTTTCTTAATTTCGATATATTATTGTTGTTACATCGATTATATTTTCATAAGTTCCAATTTTTTTATCGTCTGCGACATAATCTGCAAACCTGTCACCACCTGGCACCTCTGACGGTCTGTCTTCAAGTGCGAAGAACCAAAAGTCTTCAACTCTGTTGACGGTAGAAGGGGAAGCACTGCAGTACCTCTAACAAAGGAATGAACAGCAGGGTTGTTCTTGTGGGGAATGGCCACATGTTTCTTGGGTATGCCTCCATACACTCTGCGTGTAGTGGAAAACACCCCTTTACTTCAGATCTCGGAAACACTGACGTCACTGCATTAATGCTGCAGTCGAAGTCCATGAACACTGTTGGCGGCGACAAAGGAACAGGGAACGAGTGTGGAGAACAGATGTTTATAGGTCGTCTGCTTCTTGTCGGGTCGAAGGGCGTATGCTAGAGGGAACATCTCTCGGTGGACCATGTACTGTGTAGATCTGTTTGAAGAGCTTGGGGCAGTACTTGAACGTTCCATCGCAGAACCAGGTGTCGGCGTTGCTCAGGTGTCGAAGGTTGCCATCTGTGGTAAACAGGAGCATGTTGTCCTCGCTGACAAGAAATTTATGCCCGGTCGTCGTCTCTCTCCATGGACCATGGAGTTTGATTTCTTCACGGGTCTTGTCTCGTCATGGTCGCCGGTACATGGCGGCATCGCCGGCGTCGTAATGAGGAAGTCGTCTGACCAATTCTGCGGTGTCGTCGGTCCAATCGTGATCACCGAGGCCTGACACTTCTTCCCTGTAGATATCGGGAATTAGGGCAATTTCTTCTCAGCTACTCTTCTTCAGAGTGTTCACGAACTCTGTCACTTCACTTATATGGCTGACCAAGTTCTGTCAGGACGTTGTTGACAGTGGCAGGGCATCATCCCAAACCGTAGTGACGACAACGGCAGTAGACAGTTTCATTCCTCCATCTAGCTTTCACACTGAACTGGTAGTTGTTGTGAACAAGATACGGACCGCCTCTGTTGTTGTCTATGAACCTGATCTTTACACATGCATTCGCCATTGTGATGATATTATGTGACTAAAGTTTGCCATACATACTGGTAATACCTTCTCAGTGGTAACTCTAGTTAAAACCATTTCAATGTATTTCACTTTAACACATGTAAAATGTAAAGATATTAAAATAATGCCACATCAATGTATCTCACTTTAACACATATATGAAAAATGTACAGAAATTAAAATAATACCACATCAATATATTTCACTTTAATACAAATTTCAGTAATCTCACTCATTGAACATTTTGTTGAGACTGCCTATGGCTCATCTGGACTAAGTGTTGTCAAAACACAAACCCTTGTCAGCCAGAGTAGGGCCAGATCTAGTCTGTCTCACAGTCCCTGAACCACATTATTTTCCCCACTGCCAAGCCCTCTCTGCAGTGCTAAAGCCCTAAATAAAGCAAGTCTAGATTCCCTCAGGTTCTGAATCTCTGGTCTCCCGAGGGCTCCTTTTCAATATAAATGGGCTTGTTTGTTACTATAAAAATTGTATATATTCAGAGACTAACCCTTGTCAGCCAGAGTAGGGCCAGATCTAGTCTGTCTCACAGTCCCTGAACCACATTAATTTCCCTACTGCCAAGCCCTCTCTGCAGTGCTAAAGCCCTAAATAAAGCAAGTCTAGATTTCCTCTGAATCTCTGGTCTCCCTAGGGCTCCTTTTCAATATAAATTGGCTTGTTTGTTACTATCAAAATTATATATATTCAGAGACTAAGCCTTAGTCTAGGCCAGATCCTACTCTGGCTGTGCGAGAGACCCGTTTTGACACAACCTGGCTTAGTGAAAGGACACCATCAGTTATCAAGGGCCAGTTGCCCTCTTATAAGCGCAGTTTAGTTTGCTGCGCAGGCTTGACACCCTGTGATGCAACTCGAACGCTGAGCTTCCTACGCAACGCGCGAACAAGGTGGATGTGAATGACAAGGCCGTAGGCCGTATAAAACATACAGGGAGCCAAGCACAACTCGTATAACACTACTATCAATGTTATGATGTACGGATGCCTCATCGATGGAGTGCATGCATGTCAGAACCCTGCATTAGAAGATATGATATATTCTACACATACGCACGTCATTCACCCGTAAACGAAACCGACGAGCAAGGGTAGAATTACTAACGGACTGATTATTTATAATGGTGTGGGGGCAGTGCTGAGATTGGTCTTAGTCTGTTTTATGTAGAGAGTGAGCATAGTTTTACGCCGCGTTTAGCAATATCACGGTGGGGGGGACACCAGAAATTGGCCTCACACTCTGCACCCAGGGAATCGAACGGGGTCTTCGGCGTGACGTCCAAACGCCTTAAAAAGGCTACGCAATTGCACCGTTATATATAACACCTTTAATAATTTATCTGTCCGTATAACTCTTTTGTTGGTAAAAATTGTACTGTGCCTTTATTCATGATCATCCCACCTCTAAATTATTATTTTGGTGACACCCCCTTTAATTCTTGTTGCCGCCCACATTCCCCCCCCCCCACCTATAATATATAACTCCATTTGTCTCCAAATAGAAACGATGAGTTGGTGCAGGGACATTTAATGGACCATTCCCGATTCTGAGTTATTTTGCAATTTAGAGACAAACGGTCATTATGACCTATATCAACCTACTTCAACTTGGAAAGAGAAACAAGGCCTCTGACACTGTCTTATCGGTCAAACAAACTTTATTACAGCTTGAACTGTTTTATTTAAATAAACTCACTTGTTTCTATCTTGTAGTGGAGAACGATTCCCAAAACACATGTAATGTTATAATGACATCACCTCCCCGCTGATACACCTGGATGGGGTATTTTGTTATCATTTCCGTGTGTAAAAATAATCATAAGCGATTGTCAACAGTCTAGACAGCGGCTGGGGAAGTACAAGCATGGACACCAAACCAGTTGTTCACAGCACGGAGAAATGGATCGAGGAAAACAAGCAGTTCTTCCTCCCCCCAGTCTGCAACAAAATGATGTAAGTACACGTGTACACAGATCTAAAGACGTATTTAGATAAAACTGTCACTTTTAGTATGTTGCAATATCGTTATGTGACGGACACAAACGTGCTCCCAGAGTCTGGAGCTGAAAGCAAATACATTGTAATAAATCAAATCGCGGTATGTCACAGATGTAGGCTCATCAGGAGCTAGACGGCACGTATGTTTCAACAGACTTTATCAATTGATAATGTATAACATGTACTTGCATAATCACTTATTCTTACTTTTTATACTATTGATTGGTCTGTCGTAGTTATTTATGACAGAGCGGGTGGGTATTGCAGGGCCATGTCTTGACTGTATAGGACCGCATCGCGGCTCTCGGCTAGGTATTGCCAACTTCTGGCACAGAGCTGAAGTAGAGGTATGTATCCACTGTCACAGCTCTCGACCGGCATTTCTACCATATGGCCGAAATGGTTGACAGTAAACTAACAATATAGGCCAGAACTTTAAGTGGACTATTTGACACTGTAACCAACAGCTGGAATTCTACATACCAAGCATTGGCGGATCCAGAGGGGACACCCCCCCCCCTTTTTTTTTATTAATAGACCATTGAAACTCTCGTGAAAACAGGTGAAAATGAACACACACTTCTGAAAGAGCTGTATCTGCCCCTGTGAAGACAGTAATATTCAGTGGTCAACCTAGACTGACATTCAGTCTCAGACTTAAAGTTATCTTGTTTGAATATATGTCTGAGAAATATAATATGAAAGGAGGCTAGATCATTGCTTAATTGCAATCTAGACTTGCCATTCGACACTAGGTGATAATGATGGTTTTGAGATTTTGTGTGCACTTTCCGACACGATGCGTATATCGCACGTTGGCCCACCAGGCCATTTACTGTTTGGTCGAAAGGGGGGGGATTATGATCAAAAGATAGGGTAACCTGAACTGGTTGCATATTTAATTTTTATCCCCCACAACGCGTTATGCAGGGGTTATTAAAATGCACTCCGTCCGTGCGTGCATCTGTGCACATTTGTATTTTACGGAGCTTTAAAACCGTTCAATATTTCTTCACCAAGTTTGGCACATAGATAGGTCTGGTGGTGAAATGGTGCCTTTTGGTAGTTTTTGATTTCTGATTATAATATTTTTTGTGTTTCCATGCCAACAAGTTTGGCTTCAACTGAATTTTGTGGTAGTGCTCCTTTCTGGAGCAAAACTTAAAAACCTTTCAATACTCTCTTTCCACTTTGACATATACACACCAAAATATTTGACATAACCATAACTAGTAGACATATTCATGAAGAGTATTTTGCCATTGCGGTACGGAAGCCTATTAGGGCCACGCTATGCTATTATTCAGCATTTTCTATGTTGAAAATTCAACTTGCTATTTTGAAAATTCAACTTAGCATCTTGAAAATTCAACATCCTATCTTGAAAATTCAACTTATTATCTTAAAATTTCAACTTAGCATCTTGAAAATTCAACTTAGTATCTTGAACATTCAACTTACTATCTTAAAAATTCAACTTAACTTTGTTGAATATTCAAGTAGGTATCTTGAAAATTCAACTTGCAATCTTGAAAATTCAACATCCTTTCTTGAAAATTCAACTTAGTATCTTGAAAATGGATATAATATTTTTGGCATTTCCATGACAACAAAGTTGACTTTGAAATTGGTGTTGGTGCTCTTATCCGGAGTAGAACTATAAACTGTTTAATATTTCTTCACCAAACTTGGCAGATTGTTAGGTCTGGTGGTGAAATGGTGCCTTTTGGTAGTTTTGAATTTCTGATTATAATATTTTTTGCATTTCCATGGCAACAAGTTTGACTTTGACTGAAATTGGTGTTGGTGCTCCTTTCTTGAGCAGAACTTTAAAACCGTTTAATATTTATTCACCAAACTTGGCAGATTGTTAGGTCTGGTGATGAACTGGTGCCTTTTTGTAGTTTTGAATTTCTGATTATAATATTTTTTTCGTTTCCATGGCAACAAATTTGACTTTGACTGAAATTGGTGTTGGTGCTCTTTTCTGGAGCAGAACTTTAAAACCATTTAATATTTCTTTTCCAAACTTCTTACATAGATAGATCTGGTAATGAACTGGTGCCTTTGGTAGTTTGGATTTCTGATTATAATATTTTTTGGCATTTCCATGGCAACAATTTTGACTTTGACTGAAATTGGTGTTGGTGCTCTTTTCTGGAGCAGAACTTTAAAACCATTTAATATTTCTTTACCAAACTTCTTACATAGATAGATCTGGTGATGAACTGGTGCCTTTTGGTAGTTTTGGATTTCTGAATAAAATATTTTTTGTGTTTCCATGCCAACAAGTTTGGCTTCAACTGAATTTTATGGTAGTGCTCCTTTCTGGAGCAAAACTTAAAAACCTTTCAATACTCTCTTTCCACTTTGACATATACACACCAAAATATTTGACATAACCATAACTAGTAGACATATTCATGAAGAGTATTTTGCCATTGCGGTACGGAAGCCTATTAGGGCCATGCTACGCTATTATTCAGCATTTTCTATGTTGAAAATTCAACTTGCTATCTTGAAAATTCAACTTGCTATCTTGCTAATGAGTTGGACCCGGGTACCTGTCTCAATGATCATGTAACTAATAGATTATAAATTGTAATATGTTATTCTTATATGCTTAAAAGGTTGTATTGTCTTTGAAGATTTAGACGTTATTTACAGTCACCTGTTTTGAATATAATGCATGATTAAGATATTGAATAACTCGAAATTTTAGCCTCTGAGCTGAAGAATATATTGTCATTTCTTACAAATTTGTTGTCAGGAATTAACAAATCGGGTATCCGGGTAGGGTAGGGTAATAGGGGGTGGGGTACCCGAGCACAAAATTTGGACCAGTCCCAGCCCTAGTACATACAGCAATGCAAATGTGTTGCAGGCACAAGGAAGGTCAGCTAAAGGTGTTCTATGTGGGCGGCCCCAACCAACGGAAGGACTACCACATAGAAGAGGGGGAGGAGGTATGTAGCAGTACAAGTGTCACTTTCCACGTATATGTCAACGCCATACTTTCCTGAATGTTACCTCCTTCTTGCCTGTCACAGATGTGTCCTGGTACATTCTGCAGGCTTAGAAAGTTTTACTCAATTTTTACATATCCTTTCATAGAACTGTATTTAGGACGCTGAAATAGTGTGTGAAGTATTCACTGTAATAAGCCTGTCGGGCATTTAGAAAATTAACAAACGGCATTCTTACTAAAATTATGAACACGACAAACAGTGAGTTAGTTTTTAGTCAGCGATTTAGCAGTAACAAACAAATAGTTCAGAAATGTAGGAACATCTTTAAGACGTTAAAAGATCCTACTTGTTCTTTCCCTGGCTGGCAATTGGCCTCAAAGAGATAAAAGTACTTGTTATGAATTCAAGGAATGATTGACTAGTAATGTAATTTGAACAATAATGTTGCAAATATTTCAGAAAGTTTCTGTTTAGCTTTTCACCGAAACATTGAAGGGCCTAATTTGGATTGTTGTCACTGAGGTTTTGACAGACTGTAATGGGATGAGTGAAAGTATGTCATCATTGAGCTTTTATTCCTTGACATATGTTTTACATGACATGTACACAAATCTGCCTATTTCAGCTTTTCTACATGCTCAAAGGAGATATGTGTCTGAAGGTTGTTGAAAAAGGCGTTCATCGAGATGTTCATATCAGACAAGGGGAGGTAAGCCAGGATAATATGGATCATACAGTTGTTTTTCCCACAATCTTTCATTATCAGTTTGCCATGTGCTTTGTAAAAATGGGTCATGATGACTCACCAAATGTTTTTAAGTACGTTAATTTATAAATATGAGGGGTAATGATTTTCTTTCCCAGCTGCCTATGACCCATATTGGGTGTCAGTATTGAAGTGATAGTAATTGTCTTTGTTGTCTAACACCTCATTGAGCTATATTCCAGCTATCCTTGCCTCTTTTGTGTCTGCTTGTTCCTAACTTATCAGAGTGGAGAAATTTTTATATTCAGGTTCTCATTTTGAGGGTCTGAAAGTTGTGTTCAGGAAAACAGATTTCTTTGTAAGCACGTACCCGTGCTTGTGGGTTTCACCAATTCAGTAAACCTCTCCGACATGCATCACTTCAGGCTCCCCTCCCAGGTCAAGCTTTGTTAGAACTGGAAGTCTGTTAAAAGCTGAGTTAACCCTAAGTCACTCACTCACTTAGGGACTGATCATAATTTATGGCTGGTGTGGTGTGGTGTGGTGTCGTGCGTGCGTGTTTGATGATGATGATGATGATGATTTTAAGGGGGGTCACCCATTTTGTTCTGGGGAGGTAGTGGGGGTCAGCAATTTTGTACACATGTACTGGGGAGCAATTTTGTATATAAATATATGTTAAAATTATGCCTAAAAATTATGGGAAGGGTGGGGGTCATTGATTTTGTGCATGACATGCAGGGGGGGCACTTACATTGTGCATAAATTTTAGGGGGGGACATTCACATTGTACATGCTTCTCCATCAAAAATCATCATTTTTCTCTTCCCCTTCTCTCCCCCCAAAAACAACAGCAACAACAACAACAACAAAAAAAAGCCATAAATTATGAATGGTCCCTTACAGAGTCTTCCTATATCCACAGATATTCCTCCTCCCTGGCAGAATTGCTCACTCTCCCCAACGCCAGGAGAACACAGTTGGTCTGGTGATAGAGAGAGAGAGGTTTCAGGATGAAAAGGATGGACTCAGGTAAGGAAGGAACACCAGGCCTGGTCATTCTCCATTTGTCATAAAACCATTTGTTATACAGCAAAGTGGAGATAATTGAAACAAATGACTGATTATACCCTTAGAACCTGTATGAATAAGCCCAAAGGTGCTAGTCCACAGAACTATCACAGTTCTACGACTGTCGTAAGTCCATGTTTGGGAGTATGGGAAGTATCATTCACCTTTGCACTACAATTGCCTTGTTTAATGGGGCCTTGATTTGAAACTAATGAAAGACAGTTAATATAAGCTTGTTAATTCTATAACCTTACTGCCCTTTCGACATATACTCTTTCAAAGCATTGCTGTTTAAGTAAGCCAATAACTAATCTGGGGGCGGTGGGGTTGCCTAGTGGTTAAAGCGTTCACTCGTCACGCCGAAGACCCGGGTTCAAATCCCCACATGGGTACATTGTGTGAAGCTCATTTCTGGTGTCCCCCGCCGTGATATTGCTGGAATATTGCTAAAAGCGGCGTAAAACCAAGCTCACTCACTCACTCACTCAATAACTAATCTGAGGAGAAATTAGGAGTTAACATAAATAAATCAGAGATATTACTGTAATTTTTTTGTAGACACATATATTTTTTAAAAGAGGCAAAAAAACCTGGAGATGCTCTTCTGTGTTTATCTGTGCTTATCAGACTTAGAGTTAACACAAATTATATTGAGTTTAGTCATTTGAAAGGAATAAATCACAAATTAAAAAAAAATCCACAAAATGTAATTTTATCTGGGTCAAAGTAAGTTTGTTATTTGTTTTCAATTCAGTGTAATGGCCTCCATGTGGATGCACACAAAATATATGTTTATGACTAAGGTAATAGAATCAAAGGTTATACATCCTGTCTGTAAATATATTTGTGAAGCATGATATATCAAGCTTAATGTATCCTATCTGAAGCATATATATCAGAAGTGATATATTTTGGCTGGGAACTGAGATATAGGTCAGTTCCAAATACAGTTGTGAGACTACATGTTTAAGTTATATTCCAGGTACTATGTTGAAGACGGGGGCAAACCAACCCTCCAGTCCCTTTATGAACAGTGGTTTTACTGCGAAGATCTCGGCACACAACTCGGCCCAGTAATCAAGGCGTGAGTTACCAGGGTTCTCATTAAAATTCTCGTTTATATTCTCATTTTGTGAGATTAAATAAGGAGTATGGATTAGGCAAGGTAGGGTTCTTTTATTTGTGGATTGTATTTCTTTGTGTCATCATGAACATACAAGTCAAGATTATTTCACAAAGCAGTTATATCTCAACAATTGTCATAAATCAATGTCAGAGCATGACCTAATTAGCACAATGATTGCTTTATTATGATGACATCTCACTGTTATTCTTGCAGTTGTGTCTGAGTCAGGAAGGTTACTGACTTTACTAAATCTCACATTAGAAATTATAGGTCATTATGTCAAATTATAGGGAAATTGTACATCAGCCATGGCTTAAGTCCAAGACATCATTCAAATCTGTAGATTCCCAAAGTGGAATCAGCTTGCCCCATTGAGATTGGTTCTCCTTCCGGAATTTACAGATACTCATGATGTTTCCATAACCGAGAGTGTTGTGTTATGATATTACAAGTGTAGGGTTTTCATGACTGTACTTCTCGATGTGTGAATGTCAGTGGTGATTATGGGCCCTTGTGATTTGCAGCTACTTTGCTTCTGAACAACATAAGACAGGGAAACCTCTGCCTGGTAAGCACGATCAACTTTTAGTTCATTTTGTTATTAATATCTATATAGTTTACTGATTTTCTGTCATTTTTTAAAGAAGTTAGGAGGAAATTATTAAGATGGTCTTTATTGTTATGAGCAAAGATTTTGAAATTTAGTGAGTTAAGCATTCAAATATACATATTTGATTTCTGCATCTTGAAAATCAATTTAATCAAGGAATTCTGAAACAATGAAGCTGTCCTCTTTTATTGTTGATGTGTTATATGCCCTGTCATTTATAAATCTATACGGGGCGGTGGGGTAGCCTAATTTTTAAAGCGTTAGCTTGCTACTCTGAAGAAGACCGGGTGTGAGAAATTCCCTTCTGTGATATGGGTATATTGTGTGAAAAACCATACTCACCACTCACTCATTCGTTTCCGTTTTACTCTTCTGATTCTATTGCTGTTCAATATTGCTAAAAGACAATAAAAGTGGTTTCCTGTTACATTAAACCATACTCATCTCACTCAAGGACCATTCTCAAGGGTAGATTAAGACAATAAACAGTGGTTTCCTTTCTTGCAAGGACTCTTCTAATTCTAATTTAAGACAATAAAAGGGTATTTGGGACCAATAGATTAAGACAATAAAAGTGGTTTCCTGTTACTCTTGCAAGGACCAATTCTAATCTGAATGTTCAAGGGTATTTGGGCGTAGATTAAGACAATAAAAAGTGGTTAAGGACCAATAAAACAGTGGTTTCCTGTTACTCTTGCAAGGACCAATTCTAATCTGAATGTTCAAGGGTATTTGGGCGTAGATTAAGACAATAAAAGTGGTTTCCTGTTACTCTTGCAAGGACCAATCCTAATCTGAATGTTCAAGGGTATTTATTAAGGTGGTTTCACTCTTGCAAGGACCAATCCTAATCTGAATGTTCAGACAATAGATTAAGACAATAGAAAGTGGTTTTGGGCAAGGAGTGTTCAGGTCAATAAACAGTGGTTTCCTGTTACAGGACCAATCCTAATCTGAATGTTCAAGGATATTTGGGGTAGATTAAGACAATAGAAAGTGGTTTCCTGAGTTCAAGGGTATCTGGGCATAACAGACAATAGGGGTTTTGGGGAGTTCCTGGGCAGAGTCTACAACATTGGGTTGTCTACAACATGGACATTACGTTGTTTTGAAAGTTAGTAGGATATTCAACAATAATATCACAGTGCACTTGGTACCTATTCTTTTGTGAGCAATTATGGTATTGATGTGTTGTGTAATTATCCTAGAGAGGATCATGTAAACATATCCTATTTCTGGCTCCAATTGTTCATGCTGAATAGTGACAGAAACATCTGTTTAAAACATGCTGCTCAATACCGACATTAATATGACACATCATGAAATACATATGATGTGTCATAAGATACAACAGTGATAGCAAAATGAATATGTTAAACATATTGAAACAAAGATGGTGTGGGGGCAGTTGAAATCATGTGCAGGTCATAAAACATGTGAGGTTCATGCAAAATGAAATTGAACTTTAATGGGTCACTATTAACACCATTGAATAAGTTTGTTTATAAAATATTCATGACAGCTGCAAAGCCCTGTGGCTCAATATTTGTTAGTTGAAATCAGTTATTTATGCTGTTGAGGTAAGAAAAAAACATACAAATACAATACAATATACATGATGTCATCTGTTACCTTGCTTTCCGGTCAACTTGGTCGCTATTCTAGCCAATGACTGTGTGAATAAATTACAAATACAGGAATACAAAGCTGAACCAACCTAATTACTTACTTTCGTATTCTGATTACAGGAATATTGAAAATAGGGTATTTTAGGAATATTTTAACAAATATTGTTAAACATAATGCTGATGTTGTGCCCTAACTTCCTGGTCTGGGAAATGGCATGTATAGATCAGAAGACATTATCAGAGTGAGATTCCATACTGTCGATATTATTTATCAGAAATACTCGGTACACGCTTGTATTATGTGAGTCTATGGCAAGTATGTAATGCCTGTCAAGGCATATATTGTCAGTGCGAGGGTTGTAGCTCTGTATGAACTGGCAAGACCCCATCTGTGACAGTACATACCTTGATGTCCAAGGTATCGCATTTCAAGTCCTGTATAGCAAGTAGATACATATTATTCATTCTCTTGACTTGATATTTTGGATGGAGAAACACACAAGCACTTGTAATAATTTCTTAATCCAATGACATTATTATTAAGATTTAGACATATTTTCTAAAAAGACATTCAGAAATACAAGACATGGGAAAATAATGCCACTGTTAGTAAGACTCTTGATATATTACATTGTGGTTTGCACTCCTATCCTATCTAAACAAATAGCTAAATATTAGACTTATTGAGCAACTTCTATGACATTGATAGATGGTGTATATTAGAAATATTTCCCACCAGCTGCATACTTATTAGGCGGTATCCCCAATGGTGACAGATTTTCTCAAAAATCTTTATAGATAGGGAAACCAAATTTGGTATGTGTTTTCAGGACATAAATGCCTTGATGAAGTTTAAAAATGGAAACCGTGTTACAATTTGTTACAGAGTTATGGCCCTTGTCATGCGTTTCTCGACTTAGTGCATAGTATCCCCAATGGGTGCAGAGTGCATAGTATCCCCAATGGGTGCAGATTTTCTCAGGAACCATTATATACTGAACTGCAAAAGAAACACCACCTTTCAAAACTAGATGCAAAATCTTGTTCTTACAAGGTGGTGTTTTTATTATGATTATACCATTTTCTTAACATGTTTTTCAATCCAAATTGACAGTTATTACCAACATCAGTGTTTTCTGATGAAAAACATAAAAGCAGACATGGTAAAAGGTTCCATATGACATTTCTGAAAATGAAAATACAGATGGATAACCCTACCAATGAAAGCGAATCCAAAACTCACCTGAAATCAGTCTTGTTTTGACACAATCACCATGCCATGACTTACGAGAGATCAGAGGAACCAAGCCTTGGGATGACTGCAAGTTGGCCAGACTGCACAGGTGGTAGCCAATCATTATAGTGTTTATGTTAGAACAATCTACCAACTGCAGGAGAGGTATCAGGCCACTAACAGCATCCAAGACCGTCCACGCAGGTGATGAACTTCAGTAACACCACAATATCAAGACCGACAGATTGTGCGCAACCATCTGCGCTTCACCAGGGCGATGGAAACAGCACGCCAGACCATTGGGACCGACAACGGACCCATTAGTGCCAATACAAATCGTCATCGTTTGCATGGAAGAAACCTCTGCTGTCACAGACCCTATCGTGGTCCTGTCCTCACCACTCGTCAAAACCCAAACTGACCGCAATGGGCAACTCAGCATCAAAATTGGCATTATCGACAATGGAGAAATGTGCTTTTTTCTGATGAAAGCAGGTATTGTGTTTCAACAGCCGATGGCAGAGTGAGAGTATGGCGAAGGTGTGGGGAACTGTTTTCCAATGAGTGTATTGTTGAAAGAAAATGGGGTGGTCCAAGCATCATGGTGTGGGGTGCAATCGGTCTGAACCATAGAGTTGTCCCGTGGTGTTCCAGAATCTCGGTTCAGGACGAGGAAATGGTGTGACAACTGCTCACTATATTGAACAAGTCATGAGAGCCCACTTTGTACCACATTTTGGACGTCACAGAAATCACATCTTCTAGCAAGACAACGCTTGTGCCAACACTGCCAGATGAACACTGGATTTCCTAAGACAACATGGCAAACCTTACAATGGCCTACACTCAGTCTATATTTAACTCCTATAGAACACCTTTGGGATGAGATTCAAAGAAGACTGAATGACCTCCAACCTAGGCCGACAACTGCGACTGGACTTGATCAGGCATTTTGCAGAGTATGGCGTGGTGGACAAGCTGGCTAAGGCGCCAGGCTAGTGATCCAGCGAGCACGAGGTGCTGGGATCGAGCTTACCTGTGACCGGGTGTAAAATCCTTGGAGTCAACTTTGTGTGCAGACTCTTTCAGTGTTGTCACAACCCCTAGTGTACAGTACACAACCCTGTGCACTTAATAGAACCCACGAATCTGTTGGTATATGACCAGATGGTGGCCACATGAATATGTGCAAACACCTAGTTGTGGGTACAGCAACGTGTGCAGTAAGCTTGGACAAAGTACTGTGACTATGTGTCCCAGTCCACCCAGCTGTGATTGGGTACGTCGTAAAGATGGGAAAGCCGCAATAACTCGGTGCGCCTTGTGGCAGCAAGAGTTGTATGATCCCCAGGGACTTGAGATTGATAATAAGAGATACCATTGAGGTTGACATCCAATGATTGAGGGAAAAAATACCAGCGCCTTGAGCATAATAATAATAATAATACTTTATCGCCCAAGAAGGGAATTTGTCTTGCGTTAGGGACGCTGGAATTACAATAAATACATATATCCATTACACACACATTACAACATGAACATCAGTCACACAATCTGACAAGCTCTCACAGATCACAATGAACAATCAACAGTTGTTAAAATGATTTAAAGTACGTTATAACATGACATAATGTTGTTGTTTTTTAAGGATTAGACAAATGTAAAGGGAAAGAATAAAGCTGGACATTTAAAAAAAATAAATAAATAAACTACAATGTATAACACTTTAAGAGTAGCACTGGATACAGAACAGATACATAAAACACAGTGAAAATACTAAGAATAACTAAAACTACTTCTGTTTGTTTAAAATAACAATGCTGTATGGGATAAATGAGTCGGTGGCTCTCTTTGTCCTGAAGTGGGGAATTTGATAGCGGCGGCCTGAAGGAAGAAGTTTATATTCGGGATGAAGAAAGTGGTTTGAATCTGTACAAATTTTGAGTGCTAGGTTTCTGACTTGCCGCTGGCCTAAATATGTGATGTCCTCAAAGGCTGTACCTGAAATTTTGCCTGTTGAAGTAATATTTTGGAAAATTTGTTTCTTTGTTTTATTGTGAGAGCCCCCGACCACGCTTCAATGGAAAAACAAAGAA